ATCAAAATTTCAGGACGATTTTTTTTTTAAGAAATTGATAAGCTGATTCTAAAATCAATAAGGAAATACAACAGACCTAAAATGGCAAAATCAAACTTGACAAAGAAGAACAAATCAGAGGAAATACACAACTGATTTCAAAACATATTAAAAAACCTACACTATAACAGAAAAGAGTTCAGAGATAGGTCCACATATGTTCTATCAAATTATTTTTAACAAAAATGCCTAATAAAATGAATAGGGAAAGATTAGGCATTTTAAGAAATTATATCTAAAGAACTGAATACCCATGTGGGGAAAAAAAGAAAATTCAGTCTCTTCGTTATTCTATTCACAAATCTATATCAAAATGATATCATCATAATTAAATAGTTCATTGTTATTAATAAAGGAGAGCTAAGGGAAGGCCAGTCACTATAAGCATGGTCATGGGGCAGCTTCCCACTCCCAGGAAACCAGGGATCCATTCCCTGCCAATCACTGGGGAAGGGATGGAACAAAGGGGAGATGGGAGCATGTGCAGTGAAGTCAGGTGATGTAGGGGCGGTGCTTGCCTGTCAGTCTAGCCTGGGAGAAAGACCATTGGCTAGAACGGTAGACCCTCATGTAAGCCTAAGAAATCTTGAAAGGACAAAATCCCCAGACAAAGAGTTCTCTCTTCCTTGTCTCTTGTTTGCTCTGTTCCCCTTACTCCCCTTTCTCTCTAGCTCCTTGACCCACGTGCCCCCATGCACTAGTCTGCCATGTGGCCATAAGCAATGGACTGCAGCTGGGAATTCAATGGACAGATGCTGGACTTCAATATGGAATAGAAATTTGGGGCCGTGGCCTAAATTCTAGCCCTGCTGAACTTCTTCCGTGACAAGATGGAAGAAGATAGTACCTTGGAGGGGAACCCAAATAATTTTACATCATCAATAAAGCTTTCCATGAAACCCCATCCTCCTTTTCCCTGCAGCACCCAAAAACTCTACTTCCACTGGTAACAAAAACAGATCATATTACATTAAACTATAAATATAAAGAATTTAAAAGAGCTGAAACTGGTTGGCTTTGGATAGAGCATCAACCTGTGGACTGAAGGGTCCCAGGTTCGATTCTGGTCAAGGGCATATCCCCAGTAGGGGGCGTGCAAGAGGCAGCTGAAATATGTTTCTCTCCGATGTTTCTGGTTCTCTGTCTCTCTCCCTTCCTCTCTGTAAAAAAAATCAATAAAATAGCCGAAACCGGTTTGGCTCAGCAGTAGAGCGTCGGTCAGCGGACTGAAAGGTCCCAGGTTCAATTCCGGTGGTCAAAGGCATGTACGTTGGTTGCGGGCATGGATGTGCAGGAGGCAGCTGGTCGATGTTTCTCTCTCATCGATGTTTCTAGCTCCCTATCTCTCTCCCTTTCTCTCTTTAAAAAATCAATAAAATATATATATATATATTTTTTAAAAGAAATAGATTTTAAAAAATAAAATATATATATATATATTTTAAAAAGAATTTACAAGAAAAGAACAAACTTCTTTTTTAACCTTAGGATAGTAAACAGTATCTTTAATAGAATGCAAAAAGCATGAACAACAACAAAAATCTAAATAAATAAATTGGACTTTAACAAAATTAAAACGTAACAAAAATTGGTGCTCATAAAGAAAGTATCATTAATAAAATTTAAGAAGCCATAGACTGGGAGAAATATCTGTAATGCATATGTTCAAGAAAGTCCTATCTAGAATATATATATATATATATATATATATATATATATATATATATATAAATAACTCCTACAAATAAACAAAAACAAGCAAATAATTCAATAAAATAATGGGCAAAGATTTGAACGGACACTTCACAGACACAAAGAAATAGATAAATGATTTATAAGAACATTTTAAAGTGCTCAATATTCTTGGTTATTAGAAAAATGAAAAATAAAACCATAAAGAGATACCCTTTTATATCCACTACAAAGGTTAGAATCTAAAAGACTGTACCAAAAGTTTACAAGAATGTGGAACAATTTCATACATTGCTCCTTAAAGTGCTAAACAGTGTATATTGGAATTTAAACATGTAACCACCTTATGACCTGAAATTATATTCTTAGGTATTCATCAAGGAGAAATGAAAATATATCCACAAAAAGACTTACCCAAGACAACCCATAGCAGCTTTACTTATAAAACCCCAAGTCTATAAATATAAGTGTCATGATTTTTCCTGATATTTCTTTCACTGCATCACTCCTTACTGCATTTTCATAGCCGTGGGGAAAAGTTAGTCAACAACTAACCAGACAATAAAAGCAAAGATGTTCGCTGAAATATTGTCCTTTTAAAATATATCATTTTCCACATGGCTTATTCAATCTCTAAGCAGAGGACTGCAGCTACGTGCCTTTCGTGGTGAGCTCAGCACTTGTAAATGATATTTGGCATTAATGAAAATAAAACAACTCAGGTAAATAAATAGCACATTTTTTAAACTTTGCATTAAAAAAAATATGAATCGAGTCCCCTACTGGGAACAAGCTGGCAACCCAGACATGTGCCCTGACCCAGAATCAATCTGACTTCCTGGTTCATAGGTCGAAGCACAACCACTGAGCCATGCAGGCCGGGCTATTACTACACTTTTAAGTAAAAATTGCACTTCATTTTTTTTTTTCTGAATTCTTGCCATTCCTGACTCTGTGCTCTCTTTGAGATAGGTTATTTTGAATTATAAAACTTAAAAACCTTAACATTTTCCAAAGGCAAGTCTTGGTTCTTTCTTTCAGGCTAAATAAACCACAGGACACAGGCATGAACTTATTAGTGAAGAATTCTCTGTGCTTTTGAGGCTTATGTTAATTCTTGTCTTTACTGGCTCATAATAAACACTTTCATAATTCAGAATAATTTAGCGTGTGGAAGTAAACAGTATGCCCGGCATGAGATAGGAGCCTTTAATGCTTATCAATTGTTTGCTTACCTGCTAATTTGCACAATTTCAGTAATTCGCAGAGGATCTTTTTATCAGTGCTGGGAATTCATACTGTTATACTGAACCCACTAATTTGCCTTTCCCTTTACTAGGATTTATCATTAGATTGTGTAATTGCATTATTGAGATTAGCAGCTCCGGGAGAACAGGCCACTATATTTGAAATGAAACAATTACAATACCACAATACTGCTTAAGAAAAAAAAACAAAAAACAATTTTACATTGAAATTTTTTTGCCAGTAATAGTGTAGATGGGAGTTTTAAAAAATAAGGATGGTACCCAGTGAGGATAAGGCCAATTAACTGCATGCTGTCTTTAATGAAATGTAATGATTTCATCTCAGTTCTTTCATAAAGCTGCATTTTCTTCCCTCCTAGCTATCATTTGATTAATCTTGAAATGAAAAACCACCAGTTTGCCTGCATATAATGCAAAAGAAGGTATGTATGGCTCTTTAAAGTAGTAGTGTGAACTCTGCTTTGTTTTCTTCTCTATGGTTCCTGACATTGAAGGCTCCAGCAGGGCTTGGAGGCCAACTAGGAAGAGATGCTCAATAAATGTCCATTAACCCCATGGATAACAGACGTGGATTTAGTACTAATGGACCACTAGTATTAGACTAACAATTTGCATCAACAAACTCTTCTTCATCATGGGCATTGCTCATTTTAAATAACTGATGCTATCGTACAGTTTATACCACTTTTTAATTCGCACAGTATTCAAACATATTGATCTATGTAATCCTCGTGCCATCTGCAATTGGTAATATTTCCCCACTGACTTACAGATGAGTAAATAACTTCTAAAACCTCAAGACTCCCTCCTTGACTGTAGGTCTCTCCCTTTATTTCGCCCAGTCATGGCCTGACAGCTGGGTTTCCAATTGAAATGATAAGGCCTCTTGGATTCGAGAGGGAGTAGCGGGTAAGCATAGAGATGACACATGACTGGTTCACAGCAGCAAATTGTGAAGGCCCGGGGGATGCGTGCACAAAGCACTGTCTTTACTCCATAAATGTATCGAGTTTTCCACAATAGAGTTTTTTTTTAAAGCTGAGGAATAAAATTAAATAAAGTAAATGGTCTTTCTCAAGGTGTTTTGCTAAAGATAAGGGAATTTCTGCTATGAGATTTTAAACTAACTTCACCTATCAGCTACATGAATCTCACATAAACCGACTTGTTTATATTACATTGGAAATTGGCCAAGTAGCTTTGCAGTGCAGAACTCAACAGAAGGCCCCAGATACTTAAGATCTATAGAAATGGCTAAATCCCTTGCATTTTAGTTTATTGGAAATACTAGCTCTGAATGCAACATGGCATCTTTGTGTTTCTCATTGTTGTGTAGTTTTTACGAAGTCAGATAGCAAAACAATAAGTGAAGTCACTCTCATTCCCTGAGTATAAGATTTGAGTGTTCTGCAAGAGCTGTAACACCAAGCTATATGCTCCTAAACATAAACCCAGGCCTTGGAGAATCACCATGAATTGCTCTGTGAGATTACAGCTGGGATCAGCATCTAAGACAATGAAGATGAGTTTCTCCCAAAGAAAACTATTTTGAATCTTTAACTCCTGGATTCCAAGTATGTCAAGGCAAACACACCTAACAATAGGGTGGGCTTTCCTTCTAAGAAGAGAGCATGCTGACAGCTTTGTATTTTTTGGGGGGGAGGGCGGGGGGAATAGAGCAAAAATAAAAATAAAAATAAAAAAAACCTCATAGACAGGGACAACAGTGTGGGGATTACTGGAGTGAGGGGTGGAGGAGGGTATGGGGGATAAATGATGATGAAAGGAGACTTGACTTGGGTGGGGAACACACAATACAGTGTACAGATGATGTGTTGTAGAATTGTGCACCTGAAACCTATATAATATTGTTAACTACTCTCACCCCAATAAAGTCAATAAAAAGAAAAAAAATAAAGGAGTTATTCCTTAAGACAGCGTGAACAACCTTAGAGCACCTACTAGAGTGCATCATAAAGAGACTGAAGGGTTTGCACTTACATGAGACAGTGGAGCCAGCTCATGGTGACACGTGACGGTGTTCCGGTTGGCTTCCATAAAATACCTCTGTGTGCGCCTCCGTTCCCGTTCCAGTTTCTTCTCCAAGGCCAGCTGGGATGTAGACAAGCTATCTAAATACTTCATCATGACATCCGATATCAGGGAGCTGACTTCCACAATGTCTGGGCGGGCTTCTGCGTCAGGAGTGAGGCACCTGAGAGGAGATTTGTTCATTACTGCAGTCCGATCAACATCAGCACCAGCCAGGGGGCTTGGAAGGTGAAGGCTAAATTCCACTCTGTGCCTACCATGGTGTTTGTGCCCAAGAGAACCTAAGGGTGGGTTGGACATCAAACATGGTTTTGAATCCAAGACTTTTCCAAAGGCATTTGAAAAGTTTGGAAAGGGGAGGGAGATAGCACTGTTCTCTTTACAGCTGGACGCGCAGGCAAGGGCTACAGGCTGAGCAAGATGTTGCTCCTTGGTCTCAGGAGAGGCGAATGGGGTCATCCTCTCCTGTGTGAACTGTTTATTTTCCAAAATTGCCACCAACTCACTGGTCAGTGAAACAAAGATGGAAACCAATGATAGAGTCCCTGATGCATCAAAGGAAGAAAAGTTGGGGGGGGAGGAGGAGGTCACAAGTTGACCTTTTCCAGCTGTACAGTGGCAAATATTAACAAACCTAATTAGTGAATGTCTTTCAAAACATGAAGTCATAGAAATAACATACACCCCAGTTACTTAAAGGTTTAGAGTATTTGTAATAAATTTTTTAAAGTAGCTAATTTGACACATTACTTACTAATATTTTCTATAATGTTGGAGGTATGAAATATCTATGAGCCTACTAAAGGGAGTATTGTTCATGTCACAGCTAAACACTAGATGCCCAGGGAACAAGTTGTCATTGGCTAGCATCCTTAAATGCTTCTAAAACTCACTACAATATTTTCTCTATTAAAAAAAAAAAAAATATATATATATATATATATATATATATATATTCGTATTGATTTCAGAGAGGAAGAGAGGAGAGATAGAAACATCAATGATGAGAATCACTGATCAGCTGCCCTTTGCATGCCCCTTCTGGGAATTGAGCCCTATATGTGCCCTAACCAGGTATGTGCCCTGACCAGGAATCAAATTATATCTTCCTGGTTCATAGGTCAATGTTCAACCACTAAGCCACATCAGCCAAGCAATATTTTCTCTATTTTTAAATTTGAATTCACCAACTTCACCAAAGTTATCTATGCTTTTCAGCGAAATTTAAATTGTTTGGACTTTGAGAAAAAGATCTAATTTTCACATCTTGTATTCTATTTAGCAACCCATAGTTAATACAAGTTGTGCCTATACTGATATCTCCAGGCAAGACTGAAGAATTATTACACACAATTATTCTTCCAAATAAGATTCTAATATGTTAATTATTCTTTCTTATTGAGTTTATTAACCATGAGCAAACTACACATATCTTAATCAGAGTTTAAGACATTCCATTTCATGCTTTATCTTTATGCTACTTCTTTTTAAGCTCTGAGGCAGTTGGCTTCTGCGATGGTTATGATCAACACTTAATACATCTTCTGAATTCATATTTAGCGAACTTCAGTCTCTGAACTTTATTATGTACAAAGTAAGGCGAGAGATTGTGGAGACAGGGCCAGCTACATAATTTGTGTTGTTCCCAATACAAAAAAGAAACTACGGGCCCCAGGAGGGAGTGGGAAGTTAATTTCCCCTTTCCACAGTCCTGTATCCTGATAGAAGATGGGAGACCCCAAAAATTGCAACCTCTGTGCCAGCAGGAAGCAAAAGGTACCTGGATTGGAGGTGGGCAAGAGACTCACCACTGAATCACCCTCTAAACACACCACGTACTTCCAGCCTGGTCAGGGTTGACCTCTTCTTGGCCCTGACCCAAGACACAGCAGGACACATGCTCCATCCTGACCCCTCTTCACTTACCTTCAGCAATATCCCATGGGGAGGAGGGCAAAGATGGAACACAGGCCTCCCCTGCTGACACACCCAACTGCCACAGTAGGTAGGGGGCAGCAGCAATGATGGGACAGAAACAGGGAGAAGGAGCTGGAGGCCAGGTAAAGGGCCAGGGGACTGAAGCAGAGGGCTGAGAATCTATGCCAGGGAGGCAGGGAGCATGAGCTGAGGCCCCAAACCCTCAACACACATGCTCCTTATCCCATATACCCCAATATTTCACTTCCAACAGACCAATTCAAAGATGCAATAGTTGACCTCGGACGCAGACCCTTACCCCGAGCACAGGACTGATCTGAGTGCAGAGGCCCCATGCATTGGTCGTAAGCACAGAAAGCCAGCTTTGTGCGGCAGAGACATACTTGTGTTCAAGTTTATGACTTTTGTTCCTAAGCACAAAAGAAGCTAAGTGTTGAAGTTCATCTTCTAACTAGATGTGCTTTTCCCTCCACCCTCACTTAATTAGCAAAAGGGATTAAAGCTCATAAGCAATGTTTGGTTGACCTAGTGTTGCTTATGACTGCTATGTGAGGGGGGAAAACAAAGGCTCCCAGCAACCGAGCCTGTCATCAGTGCAGATATTCTAAATTCTTCATCTGCAGATTTTTAAACTAATTCAACGTATGTAATATGGGCAGTTTAATTATCAGCTGTTTTTTAATTGAAAAAGCAACATAAACTAATTTTACAAATTATAGTTCTATAGTATGGTAAATGGGAACCAGCATGGCCTCTGTTCTGGCATTCATCCATCCCCTTCTCTCCCAGATTACTCCCCATCCTGTAATGCCATCCAGGAGGTGCAATTTAGCATCATAATAAGGCCTGAAGGCTCTGAGCCACATCTCTGGGGTTTAAATCCTGGCTCGTCCTTCATTACCTCTGATGTTGGGCAACCCTTCGCTTCTAAGCTTTAGACAGCCCATCTGTAAAATGGTATCGTCATAAGATCAGGCTGGCATGGTGATGGAATGAAGCCGGCCCTGTAAAGTGCTGACACATTATAAAAGCCTAATAGATGGAAAAGAAAATCCACAACCTTATTTCTCTCCAATCCCCTCCCACATTCAACCAACACTACATCCTATGGCTTCTGCCTTTTCATTAATTTCTGACTCTGTATTCTTCCCCTCTAATCCCATGGCCATTGGCTTAATTCATCAGCACTTGCTTGGACTGCTGAAATCATCTTCTAAGTGCTCATCTCTTGCCCACTTCTGCTCCATATGGTAAAATGCTACAGAATAACATTCCAAAACGGATGATGTCGCTCCTCTGGTCAGAACTGCTCAATAGCCCCTCAGTGGCCCAAATGAACAAAATTAAAATTACCAGCATGCCATGCAAGCCCCTCCTGAACTGTCCCTTTCCTCTCTCTACCACCTCACCTCCTCTTCTCCCTCTGCCTCAGCAACACAACAAATGCTCCTCCCTGTACTTGCCCAAATAGCCTATGGCTTTCCTATGCTCCCATTTCTTTGCTCATTTTATTCCTTCTGCTAAATCTGTTTTTTGCTGATGATATCTGCCCTTTCCTAAACCATATCCAATAACTGCTTACCAAAATCCCACTCCTTTGCAAGTCTCTATCAGTAAGACTTTTCAGAACCACCTCGGGTAGACTCACTGTCCCCTTCTGGTGTGTCCCCACTGCACTGTCTATATTTAAGTACTTAAAACAACTATAATTATTGCATTGTAATGGTCTGCTTCACCACTAGAAACTGGAAATTTTTTGAGAGGGGGGACATGTGTCCCCTTCGTCATGATCTCCCTCCAGAGTGTAAAATGGAGTCTGGATCCTAAGAGGAACTCAGCAAGTGAGTAAACAAACTAAATAAAGCTTATCCTAACATTTAAAAAGTTACCTGTCCATAACCCAAACTATTTGGCCACAGACTGAGACTTCAAGGTATATCTCCCACCAGAAGTTCTAGTCTAGCTTCATTTATTTGAAATGTCTCCCTGAGTAGATAGTTCACAGAAATTCTTAAGAGCAACCCAATGCTTCAATGATCTCTAACAGAATAAGCATAGAATCATGTTCTAGAAAAAAATCTTGGGTGTTCCAGTCAGCCTGACAACCTTGTCCCCATCTGCACTGAGACCAGATGGAAAGAATTAGAGGGCTACAATGTTGAGTTGTATTCATTTCATGTTTAAAGAAGCAAAGAGTTGAAGGTGGGGTGGAAAATGTAACGATCAATTTGTCCCCAGAAGAGTTGAAAGCATTAACTCTGTTAGTCTCCCAATTGCTTGGGAAACAAAGGGCCAGCCTGCTTATGCAACCAGGCAGAGACAGCAAAAAATAAGGCAATCAGAATATTTTGTGCATAATAAGAAATGTTCTTCCTTTTTCAAAAGTAAACAGACAGTCTACTGCAAGGTAAAAGTAGTAACACTGATACTGTGCAGAGCAATGAAATGCATTTATTTTCTGCCTCAAACTCTTCAGGGTTGCTAAGATATTCTATGGGAGCATATGAAAGCCATGGGCTATTTGGGAAGTAATCTAAAAGCCTATTAATAAAAAAAAAAAAAAAAAAAAAAAGGTTCCAATGCCCACTACTACCTCAATCAATAGGAAAACAAGCTGTATGAGCTCTAGCTGACAAGATGCAAAAAGTAAAAGTGAGAAGATGGTACAGCAAAGAAAAAGATGAGATCAGAAACAACACCTGGTTAAAAATTAAGAATGAGCCTAGTCGCCGGGACCGGTTTGGCTCAGTGGATAGAGCGTCGGCTTGGGGACTGAAAGGTCCCGGGTTCGATTCCGGTCAAGGGCATGTACCTTGGTTGCGGGCATATCCCCAGTAGGGGGTGTGCAAGAGGCAGCTGATCGATGACTCTCTCTCATCGATGTTTCTAACTCTCTATCTCTCCCCCTTCCTCTCTGTACAAAATCAATAAAATATATTTTAAAAAAAATGAGCCTAGTGAATTTTCCCATCAATGGTTGTCTTGTATTTCAAAGCTCTATAACAGTACTAGTGACTGGCTCTGAGCCTGGTTTGCTGAGTCATAAAAGATCATTAAGAACACTTCTGCCTTGATGTTCCCTGGTACCAATTTCCTGAGGAAAACAGGAAATTGAATTTGTTCCCTAATTCTTCGGGAAGTAAATTTTTAAAGACTAAAAGTCCAACGCAAATTAAATATGTGACTGTAAGCAACCCATGACTGATTTTGTTGTGTGTGTGTGTGTGTGTGTGTCAGATTTTCTAAAGATAAAACTTTATTTGTGATGTGAACCCAGATAATGAGTCTTGAATAACTTTAAATGAAAACAACATCTGTTATAGAATGCATGCTGCAATCTTAATTTACAGTCAGTTATAAAACTAATTGTCAGTTCTTCTTATGGCATCTTATTATTTTGAATAAAAATTATCCTCAAAAACATTTAGGAATTTGAATTCAGTTAATTCCAGAACCTACTGGAGCCTCTTAATAGTGATCGTTCATTCTCTAAAACATTCCGGTGACACTACCCACCCAGCAGCCTGCTCCACAGTGTGCACTTCTTCTGATTCTGACACATACTTCCTAATAGTGAGCTGACCTTGGCCTCCTGGGACTCTTGACTCCCTGATCATGGCTCCATTTTCTTAAGTTCTATAGAATAAATCCAATTGCTTTCATTTTTCAATGGCACCACATTGTACCGGTTAACTAAAGGATTTTTAATCCTCTTATGATTGTACCCCAAACTTGTTGACTCAATTTCCAGCCTACGGAGGAAACAACCCCACTTCTCTCCATCAACACCAACCCACTCCAGTCAAAGCTACTATCAGCTCTCAACGGGCAGCTGGGTCTTCCTCTTCCTCCCACACTCTCTTCTTCCAGTCTGTAACCCAAGATCTGTGCTAAAGAGGAAATGTTCACTATGCCCAGCCTGTTAATTGCCCTTTAGTCCTTTCCTCAGTGCTTGAGGCAAAAATTCCAAACTCTCCCTGTGGCCTATAGGACCTGGTCAATCTGGTCCCTCCCTAGCTCTTAATCATGTGCTCGTTATTCTCTCCTGTACTGAACATGCTCCATCATCAATTTCCTTCAGTTCCTCAAACTAACAAGCTCTTTCCCCCAGGAAAGCCTTCACAGATGCCTGTCGATGAAATGCTTTCTCTACTCTGTTTATTATTTGAGAATTATTTGGGTCCAGATTACATATCCCTTCTTCCTCAAATCTCCAGACTAGGCCAAATTCTTCTGTAATCTCTTACTGCCCCTTTACTAGTCTGTGTGACATTTATCACAATTTGTTTTATATACTTAATTCCACACATAATTTTATTACTAATAGCAATACCTAGTTTAACTGAGTGCTCACTACATGCTGGATACTGTGCTAAGAGCATCAGAAGCATCATCTTATTCAGGCTTTGGAGCAAGCCCATGAGTGGTTGCCATTGCTACCCACGCAGCACAGGTGGGAAAAATGGGGTTGGGAATGTTCAGATGAGTGGAAGAGGAGGAATTTGAATTCAGTTAATTCCAGAACCTACTAGTGCTCTTAACCTTTTCCTGACAATGCTGATGTATGACTCTGCCACCGCCACTTAGCCCCAAGACGCATGGGTACCAATAGCCGGGGAGCCTGTCAGAAGCAAGTTATGGTTCTGTTTGTCTGGTGCCACAAAATCAGACTAATGTCTCTGTCCCTTTTCTCTGCACTGCCCCTCGCCGGCTCCTTGTGGCAATCAAATACCTATGAAAAGAAGAATTCAAATGAGTATGTCTGGTACTCCTGTCTTGACAATTCCAGAGACTTGGATTTTTAAAGCACTTTGCAAAAAAACAGAAAGCAGAGGATGGGGACAACCTGTGAAGATGAGCAGTTTAAATACATTTGTCTGGATTCATTAGTGCAAGGCACGATCCAAGACATGCAGAATTCAGATGATTTAGGAAGGGGTTTCAGCTCATTTCCTGTAGCATTAACAATATATTCCCTGGGTAATCATCACACCAGCCTGATGAAGTCGGTGCTACTAGGACCCCCATTTTACTGAATGAGGAAGCAGAAATGCAGAACGAGTGGTCCAATGGTTTGTTCAGGGTCTGTAGTTAGTGAAGTTCAGCCTGAGCTGGGCCTGGGGCTCCTAGTATCCGGCAGGACAGCACTGTGCTGAGTAAGGAGAGACTCCAGATATAACCCTGCAACCACGTGAAGAGTGTCTATTACTGCCAAACAAGGGGCTGGGAGGGGAAGCCAGAGGGGAAGGGGCACAGCCACGGTAGTATGTCTATGACATCCCTCCAGAGATGCTGCTCAGTGCAGGGACAGACACAGAACCAAGCTGGGCGGGCATCAGGCAGGGGCACGGAGAAAGATTCTATCTGAGGTGACTCTAGGGTTTCCATCATAATAATGAGAATTTGACTCAGCTCAATGGGGCAGAGAAGTAATCTTAGGCCAACTTAAGTACTTAAAATGGTCCAGAAATAACAATCAGCCAGATAAATGGGAGTCATTTATTCGTACAACCAGTATTTAATTTGTTAAGAGTATGTCTACATTGTGCCAGTCATTGCTTTGGGCACGGAACAGCTGTGAGGTGAACTGAAGAAGTCCCTGCTCTTGTGGAGTCTGGTGAGGACAGAGAGACAATAAAGAGACAAGTCCACATATGCAGGCACAACATGTCAGGGGTGATGGATGCTGTGAGCTGTAGAAAGCAGGCAAGGGCACGAGATGGTACAGAAAGGCTGTGGGGCTGGCTTCCTGACATAGGACATCTCAGCAGAAGCCCAAGGGAAGTGAAGGCCTGTGCCATGAATGCTACAGAGAAGAGAGTTCCAGAAAGGGGGAATAGCAAGGTCAAAGGTCCAAAGGGAGAGGAAAAGAGGGAAAGTGGGAGCAGAGAGACGTGGGGTCATCTGGGACAAGCCCTGTGGGGCCAGAAGTTGTAAAGGGATAATGCCTTTCATGAAACTCCTACTATATTGCTAGCTAGAAAAATTCTTCCCAACTTGCTTAGAAAATATATTATACAATACAGCATTACTGATTTAAAAACAGAAATGAAAAATGCTTATAATTTTTTCTAACATGACCTTTTTCCATTTCATATATTCCTGTCCAGCCTTTTTCCACATATTTTTAAGCTTCTTGTCATAGTTATAAACAACTTTGCATCCTGCTGTGCTTAAGTTCATACTGCATGCGTCTTACAAGTGGAAACAAGCATTCAGAGTCATCATTCTAGTGGCTGCATAATATTTCAAGTGAATGTACTACTTCCTCTTGGACATCTCATGGCTTCCAAGTGGTCACTGTTATTGATGATGCAAAATAATTTTCCAGGTTTAGATTATTTGAGAGCCCTCCCTCCGCATGAATGTTTACAAAGGAAATCCTTGTAATTGTGAGGTATTTCTTGAGGATCCCTATACGTTCAAAGTTGGGAGCCTAATTACCTGCTGATGGTATCTGTCACTTTTTCAGAGTAGATGCCTTCTGGCACTGGCTCATACACCGCCTCCACGATCTGCAAGACAAACAGAGTGGAGAGATGGGAATGGAGGGACATTAATATTTTTGAGTGGTAAAGCTTGGCCACCACATGAGAGGTACCCAGCAAGCATTGTAACTTTGTGCACAAATTCTAATCAGGAGCAAAAGCATTCCAACAAATACAAAACTGGCATCCATTAAATAGTTCTTTAGCTCGGAACTGTGTTCTTCAAGCTGAGCTAAAGTTAACCTCAGATCCATATGAATGATGTGGAGGATAATAAAATATGTTATGTTATGTTGGATCGTGGGTGTTCCAAACTGCAATTAAGAATAATAGACCAGCCGAAACTGGTTTGGCTCAGTGGATAGAGTGTCAGCCTGCGGACTGAAAGGTCCCGGGTTCGATTCCAGTCAAGGACATGTACCTTGGTTGCGGGCATATCCCCAGTGGGGATGTGCAAGAGGCAGCTGGTCAATGACTCTCTCTCATCGATGTTTCTAACTCTCTATCCCTCTTCCTCTCTGTGAAAAATCAATAAAAATATATTAAAAAAAAAGAAAAAAAGAATAATAGACCAAATTGCAAAGGGAAGCTGGGGGTGAGTGGGTGGGTGGGTGTAATCAACCAGAGAATTTGTATATATACATATGTGCATAACCCATGGACACAGACAATAGGGTGGTGAAGGCCTGGGGTGGGGGGCAGGGAGGGTTCAGTGTGGCCATCTGGGGTGCGGAGAAGAAGGGTGGGGGCGGGGCTAGAAGGGGTCAATGGGGGAGAAAATGGGACATATGTAATACTTTCAACAATAAAGATCTAAATTTTTTTTAAAAATAGACCAAAAAGTAACTTGATATATTTGTCTTATAATTTTCTATAATAAATAAAGGCAATTACAGGGGGAAATATGCCATAGCACATGATGTAGATTTAGAAGAAAGGAGGACAACTAAACTGGAGCATGTGGGTTAATAAAACTATGCCTGCTGCCTGGGCGGTGTGGCTCAGTGGTTGAGCTCCTCAATGTTTCTATCTCACTTTCCTTCTCCCTTCCCTTCTCTCTAAAAATCAATAAAAACGTATTTTGGGTGAAAAATCAATACCTTCTATTATTTGACAGTTTTACTGACATCACAAGTTCTATTTAAGCAGAAAAGGAGTGGCATTCTCAGCAACAGGCTGCCCTGTTGCCTCCCACGCCCGCTTACTTTTGTAGCCAGGGAGAGCATGTTGGAGCTGTAGAAGGGGGGGTTCAGTGTGGCCATCTGGTACAGGATGCAGCCTGCGGCCCAGACGTCAGCCTTCTCCCCGTACGGCTCACTCTTCAGCACCTCAGGGCTGAACGAAAAGGAGGATGTTAACAGACACTGAAACGCAGAGAGGTCAGTTCAGAAAGAAGTCCAATTTTTAAGCTACAGTTGGAGACACAAGGGGAAAAATCTGAAACCGTTGGTCACTATTTCTAGTACACACATGGAAAGGTATCTTTGAATTCGCCCAGACTTGGATGAACGACAAGCACAAGCAAGCGATTCCATTCAAGCACTAGACTTCAGTGGACCATGAACATTGCCTACCGAATGTCCAGGGAAGTTATTTCCAGAAACAACCACGTCTCTGTGGTGGATGGAATCACTGGCCCCAGTTCTTTTCTATTCGGGAAGTTTAGAAAAGTACACCCTGGCCTCTTAGCAGGCAGTCTTTGTTACCCACTCCTGCCTCTGGTTGTGACTGTGCTGCCTGGCGCTGGCCAATGCCATGTGAAAGGAACAGTGCACCAGATCAGGTCTCAGTCCAAACAGGTTCAAGGGCTTCCATTTGTCCCTCTAGGAGCTTCTAGAAGAGGATATCCCAGGTAGCTGCTGCCTCTCCAGGCTGAGCCCGTAATAAGACACGGGCAGCAGACCTGGCCCAGACACCCACAAACCTGCAGCCGGAAGCAGAACCAGTCAGAAGACCCAGACCTGTGAGTCTGACAGTGAATGCTTGTTGTCGAATGCCATTAAAATGTTGTGGTGGTTTCTAATGCAGCATTTTTATGGAAAAAAACTAACTGATACAGCACTTTCCTTTGCTATTCAACTGTATAATATATTAAATAGGTGGGAAACTACATTTAAATACATTGCAGGAAATGATAATACCCATCATGTCAGTTTCTCTGAAGTTGTATTTATGATCTGGACAAGGAGGCTGTCAGCCTTTAAATGAAGTTAAGCTGTGATGACACATTTGACATATTCTCTCTCTCTCTCTCTCTCTCTCTCTCTCTCTCTCTCTCTCTCTCTCTCTTTCTTCCTTTTAATGTGGAGGGGAATGTTGTCCTCTTAGATATTTTGGACTACTAGAAGTTTTCTTCATCGTATTTGTAGAATAAGACTCAGCAAAGTGTGAAATCCACACACCCCAAATAGTTTGATAATTCAGTCCTATAGCATATACTTAGGGCCGTGCTAAGCCCTCTAAATTAACAGAGTGGGGATTAATGGTTAACTTGGACAGTGAGTTAAGGTTTAAAGAAATTGATAAATCAATGTCAGAACAGAGTGGGTTTAATTCAGTACTGACCGCTAAGAATAACCAAGAAGTCCCCTCTTCTTGTACTGCTCTGGGGAATTCCTGGTGTAAGACGCCTACTATGTATCTGCAGAGGAACGTGTGATTCCTAGTCCCCGAGTTAAGCAATGTCCTATTTGGTGCTTTTGAATTCAATCACATGGCCATAGGGGAATCTGGGGTGATTTGCAGGACTCTGCTGGTCCCAAGTGACTAAAAAGGTGTCCCTTGTAACCACCTGATCAACTGCTCACATTTAAAAAGAAATGCCTTATAAGAAATAATGTCCTCAAGAGGAAGATGTCCTTGGCTCCCCACAGACAAATTTCTCATGTTTTTATCTACTGTGAACGTAAGAGATGTGCTTCCTGTTTCCAAGAACTCATGAAGCAGATGATCTGTACCCCACCAGGGGCCCAGGGCCCTTCTCCAGTCACTCTCCACAGCAGCAGCTGGACTTCTCTAGAAACAGTTCATTTCTCCTCGAAAGAGAATTCCTCAATGAGGGGAGAAAACACTTGTAAGAATAGAGTGAGCTCCGTTTACTTTACTCACCAACACATCTCCTCCTCCTCACTGGACACCACAAACTCCTCCCATTCCCACAGGTATGCCCCCTTTTCAACAGGTTTTTGGGGGCCTCCCCATCTAGAGGGGGAGCCTGCTTCTCCACACCTCAAATCTTAGCTGGACCATATGATTTATTTTGGCTAAAAAAGCGTCAGTAGAAGTGATGCTAAGAGATACTTGGAAAAGATGCTCTTTGGAACTCACTCTCTTTCTGCCATTGAAAACCTTATGAATGCAAGCCATTGACAATCATGTGAGCGCAGTCCCTGCTGGGACCAGTCCAATTTGCCAGCACGCAGTGTATTCAGGGACAGGGGAGGTTATACTAAATCACTAAGTTTTGAGATAGTTTGACAAAGTGAACTGATATAATAGCTGTCATCAGATTCTCAACGCTGTCCAGAGGTCCCTCAAAAAGACGGAGAATCACTTCTATGGAAGAGAGTAAGAAAAGAAACAGAGACAAACAACACAGTTGCTAACGATCACTTTGCTTCTGGGATCCAACTTCAATTAATCTCCAAGCTAATAGTTTCATAATTACAACTAAAAGTAATGACGAACTGGAAATAGAATCTGATATTTAGAAGACACAACAAAATGTTCGGTTATACAGTCTGAACTTTGCCCCCAAATTGTATATGCTGCAGTGCCAACTCCCAGTAGCTCAGAATGTAACTGTGATTAGAGAACCGGTATATACAGGAGGACTGAATTAAGAAGATGCCATGCGGATGGGTCCTGATCCAATATAACTAGTGTCCTAAGAAGAAGAGACACCTGGAGTGTGTGCACACAGAACCACCATGTGAAGAGGCAGCAGGAAAGTGGCCACCTGCAAGCCAAGGAGAAAGGCCTCAGAGGAAAACAAATCTACCAACATCTTGATCTTGGACTTCTAGCCTTCAGCACTGTAAGCAAGTAAATTTCTGTTCTTCAAGCCACCCTGTCTGTGGTGTTTTGTTACAGACCCTAGCAAACTAATACAGGTTTCCTGAGAAAACCAATAAATTTAAAAATTTCCTCAGCAAATGTTAGAAAATACTAATAAAAGGATTTTGAGGAGTTTGGGGCATAGTAAATACTAAATGTTTGTAGACAAGTTTCTCTTATTGAAACAACTCACCCCACAATATTTGCTTCACTGAGCCAAGATAGAAAAGGGATTTTTGCATCTCCCGGCAATGTATTAATCTCAGTCTATTAACAAGTACATTTAGTTCTCTGGTTCTGGCTATCAAACATTCATCTCCCTAGACAGCCTTCACAACAGAGGAGAGAGAGAACTAACTTATCATTGTTAACTGAAAGAGAAACAAAACCGTAAAATTCCGAAAGAATGTAAACCATCTGCCTAAGAATACAAGATCTGCTATTTGCTCAGTCAAGAAGGCAAAAATACATATGAATTCACGAGGATAAAAATCTGAAGTGACATAATTAAGATTATAGGCCAATTACTACAGTTTATTTAGACTGAAAAGTAAATTGTGTCGTATCTCGGAATGATTCCATGTAGAGCATTTAGCATTATAAAATGGCCAAAACACACACATGCATGGTGTGTGTGCACATATGCATGCATGTGTGTGTGCCTGCCAGTGCATGTTTATGGCTGCTGAGGGTGGGTAAAATGATTCTGAGAAGTGGCTCAGATAGCAATCACTATGGTGGGATGAAAGGCAAAGAGAATCGAAGGGGATGTGGGAAGTTGGGAAGGCTCAGAGGGAATAAGTGCCTGGTGCATTTTCTGGGAAGGAGTGAGCAATATGACATTCAGTACTTGGTGAGATGAGCAGAGCTTAGCAAAAAGGACTCTAGGCAGAATGATGCATGTAGTTCATGTTCTGATCTTTTTCTATGAGGCCCTATTATTGAAAGTACCTAAAAGCACTGATGGAATATGTCTAGTCCCACTGAAGCCATAAAATTTAGAGGGCATTCTGATCAGCCCAGTGGTGCTCTCCACTATGGTTGGGGAGGAGGGGGACTGAGCTGGAGGAGGGACAGAAAGAATGAGTCTCTATTAATATGGTGGCCAAGGAAATGGGAGAAGAGAAAATCCCCAGGACATGGGGAGGAGGATAAGGGAAGGGGAAGACCCTCTCATCTTTCAGGCTCCCGAGTTTCCGATTTGGGTGATGGGGTGATGAACACACACTACAATATGCAGTGTGTACTCATAGGGGGAACTAGTAGGAGCTGGGTCTATTTGGTGTACACTGATTCATGCCTGAAAGAGCCACAGTTAGGGATATCAAATGGGTAACACCATTCTGGAAGCTGTTAGACTCATAAAGCCCTATCCTGACAGGCTCTGTAGCCAGCGCCACTGAAATATTCTCAACTCACAAATGCCTGGTGCCATTAAGCAGATAGTTAGATTTGATATCTAAATAAATTTAAGTTTGTTCTAAACACAAAGTTCTTACAGAGAGAAAAGAGAATTAGATGACATGTTCCAGAGCCAGGGACTTGCCACTGAAGGAAATAGGCCACAGCTTTATACTGATTTTGGAGTCTGCCTGGACCTATGTTGTATCTAGGGTTGGCGGCCTTAGCCAGCAAAAATCCAGATCATCAGCTAAATTTCAATTACTAAAAATTGCAACATCTGGGATATGTTTATACTAAAAAATAAAATATTTGAACACAAACTGAAAAAAACTCAGTTGTTTATTTATAAGTTCAATTTCATTGGGAATCTTGTCTTTTATTCCAGTGGCAATATTCTCTGTGTAACTCTCCTTTGTTCGTGCTCAACTCATCCTTCTTACAGAAAGGCACACGAAAAGCTGCCTAAGCATTAAATGTGGTTTTCTGCACTTACTTTAGAAAAAACGAGGATAGCCGCGTATTTATATTTCTCTAAAAGCATCACATTTCTCTCATCTTGCATAAAGACATGTATTGACGTGTTGTAGCACCAATGAAATCAATGATTAGAAAATTATTTTAAATTTAACCACTTAAATATATGTTTACATATAAAAGTTCTTTTAAATATATAAATATATATATGAAACACATATGTGAAGTGTTAAGTCCAGCCCCAATTTTTGCAATGAGCATATATCATCTGTAAAAATTTTAGTTTAAGTAGTAAGTAAACTGGACTATGACCCATCAGAATAGCCTCACTAGTTCCATAGGTCCAGGTGGGCCAGGACAAGTTTCTAGATGCCAAAATTTCCCCGTGGGTTGCCTGCCTC